GAGAGAAAGAGAGAGAGAGAGAGAGAGAGAGAGAGAGAGAGAGAGAGAGAATTTAGTAAATATGTATGCACAGTTCGTTCCATTTAATATTTTTGATAATATAAAAAAAAATAAAAAAGTAAATAAAAACCTTTGAAATTTTGTTCTTGTGCCATTCTGGATTTTAATGTTTTCCGAAATCTATATTTGACTACATTTGTCGTCGAAATTCGGGTCCATTTTCTCTCTTTCTCTAGGGTAATAAGAAATTTTAATAACTTGAGTTCTCGACGTGAGGCGCGAGTCGGCGTAATTAGCATCTCGATAATCGAAGCCTAAAGTTTCCCCAGGACCTTACCGCCCCATTGATACTGGCAACACCGTTACCAAGTTCGCCAACGAACTTCCCCTATCCCCCTTCTTCCCCTTTTCTCGAAGCCCAAATAGTGTCGGTGCAAACTTGTCCGAATTCCGACTGCAGTTCGAGCTAGGCAGAATACGTAATGAGTACGTGGGTTCTTGACTTCGGGCTATTATACGAGCCGGGCCATTATGACTAATCGTTTGGTATGCCTTGCTATCGAGTCTCGGATAGGTATTCGTCTGGTGAATGAAATTTGTACGTGTAAGAATCACAGTTGCAATCGTTACCGTGGGTTTACGTCCAAACGAATGCGACAACGTTTGTTCAGGACCAAGAAACGCTTTATATTCACGGCTAATAAGAAATTATCTTATATAATTACAAAATTGCATAATACATAAAAATGAGTTAACGAGGAAATCATCAATAAATGAATTGTAATTATAAGTTACCGAAAATAATGAGCGGAATATAATGACGGAAATAATTTTATTTGTTCAAAACATTTGTTTCTAGTTTGAAATATTAATTAAATATTTCAATAGCAGTTTAATTAATGTACAAATAAATTATTATTTTATGTTAAATTTATAATTCAGTAAAAGAAAGATCTTTGATAAATATTTTTATCGTTTATTTCAAATAATATTAATTCACCTCAATATTCAGTTCACCTTTCGAGAAATAATTAATACTTGAATATATTTTTTATTTTTATCATCAGTATGATCGGCAATATATATAGGATATATCCTACAACCGTTCCGACTATCGAACGTTCAATTCGAGTACGGTCGGATCAAGCTCTTACTTTACTACTTGACGTCGCTCACCGTGAAACGCTTCTCGCACGAGATCGAAGATTCCTAGATAATTTCCCGTCACGCGAACGTGAAGTGGCCACTCTCACTCGGGCGCGACGGCGTGCGATCTAATTTCTGGCTTAATCTCGAAGGCGGGTGCGGTCCAGCGATAGAGAACGATGCAAACGCGGATGGTCATACGCGCAATCAGGATGCGAGAGCATGATGCAAGGAGATAGTGAGTATACGGCGGGAGGAAGGGGTAGTTTAGATATCGGCGGTTCTACAGCGACGTATTATAGAGCCGCGATTGCCGCCAGCAACCTCAGCCTAAGTGAATGGCTCAGCCGAGGGCCTTTGCTGATTATGGTGTCGCCATTGATCCAGATCGAAATTGGCTTGCCTCTGTCATGGAACGCGCCCAGAGGGCCATTAATATCCTCCGCGGGCCAAGAGCGAACGGGCGCGACGCTCGTATTGATGAGAAGGGGAAGAGACGAGTTAATCGCAAATATAGCTGCAGATCGAGGTGCGAAACCTCTCTCTCATCGCTCTCGGAATATGTCAACTCTTCGATAAGTTAAATAATCAGCATCCAATTATTTTTTGTATCTTTTCCGAGATTTTCTTTACAACTCTCGACATAATTGAGGATTTAAAATAAATGCTGCAAAATAAATATATCCAGAAAAATGAAACATTTGATCGAAGAAATGCTTAAGTAAGAATAATATTTTATCGGGAAAGTAAACAGAAAATATTTTTTTAAATTTTGTATTATAAAAATATTCTCTGTATAGCATTCTAAGATATATATCACATAATCTTTTAATCATTTTTCTTCTTAAGACTTTAAAAAAACAGGTATGCTTCATTAATAATAAAGAAATTATGCCCTGGTTTTAATAAAATATGTAATTATATAAAATTTATTTTCCACACATATTAAAATTTTAATCGATATCGTAGTAATCCCATTTCAATCACGGAGAAAATAGGGCAGTCCTGATTCATCTCATTATAAGACTGCCAAATGAAAATTATTTATGAGGGACCGAACTTCTCTCTGACAGTAATCGATTCTTCGGCGTTAAGCAGTCGGCTAATGATAAAAGAAGTCTTTCGATTTATATAAATCCATGATTAGGAGAATATCGGCCCGCTATTTGTCTACCTATCAGCACGATTAATAAATTGTCAGGATTAAAAAGAGCTCACAATCAATAACAAACGTAGTGCTCCCGGAGATTGGATTCGGCATAAATCGATGAAACTGAAGCATAATTCTCGCTCGCTCTCCATCACATCTCGAACGTGTTCCTTCACATTTCCTTTCACTTAATCGGTCTGTCGTCTGATTAACGGAGATTAAAACAATCTATAAAAGATAAAGATACTCCGTATTTGATAGCGCAAAGTAATAAAATTACATCAAAGTATAAAATTTATGGACCAACTGCAGCGTATCACGCGATATAAGTAACAGATTATAAATATTGGATTGGATACAAATGCCTCGTGTTTTATTTTTCCATAAAATTTTCCGATATAGATAAATTATATAGCATCGGAAATATGCCAATAATAGCAATGGATTAATTTAGATCATTTAGGGGCATTTATTACAAACTTTTTACGTTGCTTATTACTCTTTTCAATCTAATGAATAAAAACTTATTTGCGGGACAAATATTCTTTAACTTTATCTTTAGCCAATATAATAAAGCGGAAAAAAAATCTATTTTTTTTTTGCATCGCAATTCAAAGCAGAGAAAATATACAATTATTCTATCAACAACTATTCAACAATTATTCTACAATTATTCGGATCAGATTATGCGCTATTAATAATAATATACAAATATGTTTTACTTTTTATATCTCACAGAAACTCATGCTGACTTTAAAATAGAATACGCTGTATAACAATATGCGTTTTAATTAACTTTGTTATTTTATTGCTGTATAAAGTTCAATAATTGATTAAAAATTTTTAAACTTGCACTTATATAACACTATAAATTTATTTTATATATATATATGTATTTGTAATTTATATAAATTTATTATATATTTACATAAATTAAAAAATAAATTTCATGTTCACGATGAATTGCAAGATGAAAAAAAGAACATATAGAATTACTAACATATAATAATAAAATTTATAACGCGTTGCTTTATCAGTCTGTGACCTACTTTATTTTAACTGTTTTTATTTTAACGGTTTTTTTTATTATCGATTAAATTGAAAATGGAATTTAATAGCACACTGAAGCGCGATCTTTTGACTGCAGCAGAATTACGTAGAAAATGACGTGTCTCCCACGCGAAGAATTACACGGAAAATAAAGGTGATATTGCTTTTGACAGTTGGTTTCGTTTTCACTCTTCATGTTATGATAAGGCTTTGTGAGGTTTTATCGGCTAATTGTAGATTGCAAAGATATTCGTCCGCTAGATTGGATTAAAAACTGACAATGAACAGTTTCTGAAGATCAAAGAAATCTATTTTCTGCTGTTCAAATAAAAATATCGCAACGGCAAAGTTTACACTAATGCAGTGTGATTGGCGTATAAAATTACTGTATATACATATAATGTATATATGTCTCTGTCAAATTTGTTGTCTTTTTTTATTACACGTTCGAATAAATCGTCAATCGATTTTTCCGTAGTCAAGAAGATGAAGGGAAACGGCCATTATTTTCTAACTTACCATATATTTTGATAGAATTGAATTTAAAATTAAATTTCTCAACAAATAAAAAAAAATCATAGAAATTAAACACTCACGCACGTGGAGGGTATACATAGATTTTAGAAGAAACTTTTTTAAAATTTATCGAGATTGGTATATACTTTTTCAGGACATTTCGCGGCGATGAAGATTCGAGGTAGATAGATGATCGTTCTTCCGTCTGTCTTTGTCAATTGCCAATATCTCGGCAAGATGGCAAGAGACGGCGGGATCGAACAGGCGGGATTCCTGATTCCGATAAGAGTTAGTGCTCACTTGTTTACCCGTTTCAATGATCGTAACTTATCGAGATACAAGACCGGCGATTGAGAGCAACGACGTGAGGCCAGATGCCGAGAGTTTCGGATTTATCGAGAAGTCTTAATATATATATATATATATATATACTAATCTGCAAATTATAATGTAACTGGAGATGAGTAAATATTGAATCGAAACAGATTCATCTTGTATCAAAAAAAAGAAAGAAAGAAAGTATCCATATCATTAGGCGATGTAATATACGAGATTTTGGGACAATTATTTGATATTAATGAGATGAGATAGCTATATATATATACACATGTTCTGGGAAATTACACAAAACTGTGTAGTTAGAAAACTATAAAAATAATTTATATCTTTTCGATATCTTTATCTATAAAAATCGAAACTTGTTTTATTATTAATGCGTGTGTGCAAATTTCTATCGTCAATTACATATCGAATAACAAACACTCACCCGTCGATCAGAGGCACTTCAGTGAGGATCCTCCTGATCACGTCCAGCCTCTGCTGGTGCGTGGCAGGCGCGGATTGAAGTAGAAACGGCAGACAGAGGCCTCCGAGGAGCAGGACGGCCACTAAGAACAGGACAGGCGCCAACAGCCGACATCTCCTGCGAGGACTCTCGTCTCTGCGATCCTTGCTGCTGCCGCTGCTGGGCGAATCCTCGCACGGCGGTGGTAGCCGTACGGTGCCGTTGCACGGCGCCACATCTGGCAGTTCTGTTAGGCACGTGGTCTGAAAAAAAACCCATATCATAAATGTAATGTTCTATTTGCTCTTTACTTCTATCGATCTCGATAAATTATCAATCTCGTCGCGGAGATCATTGTTATAATTGAATAATCGAAAAGTTAGAAATATGATTGTATATTTTAACAGTATGTTAAATATATTACAACACATCCGTTTTTTTTTAAATTTCTGATAGCGGTATTGTTTTAAAAAATTGTTAAAATTACATATGTGTAGCCTTTTTTACAGATTTCTTTTAGCAATTTAGTTATCAGCATAGTTTTGATTCTAAAATTTTCTGTTTCATTGCTTTGATAATTTAATAGGATAATAATTTTCAAGCATCTTTGTATGTATATCAATTTTTTAATATTATATTTTGTTTTAGCTTTAATAAGTACATAGTTGTACAGTTTGATTTTATTTTCTTTTCGTGAACTTATATATATGCACGGATAATATGTGTAGAGATCAAGTTTGCCTAACAAATCTCGATTCGGCAAAGAGAGCTTTTTGAGTTAATTTAGTATATCGTACATACGTTCGAGATATTTGCTTAGTGAATTAATTAATCTAGTTAATAGCTGCTACAGAGATTACACGTTGCTGTCCAGTGGCCGCATACGCTTTTAAATAAATAATTATTCAACTGCGTAATTTTGTGCGTTTTAAGGGACGAAACAATAATTTCTTTTTTCTTGGGTAATTAAAATTGAGCACAAACTATTATGATAAAATGAAAAAAGCAATCGAATACTATAAAAAAAGTTTGATTAAATATATCTAAATATACATCAGCTAGAAAAAGTAATTTGATTTTATAGTTAAAAAAAGTTCATTTTTTGTATATCGCATTACAATTACAAATTGATGTTAACGTGTCAGATGCATTTCTTCTTACAAAGTTAATTTAAAAAAAATCTATATTTTTAAAGATATATTTAAGATTAATATAAAGATTTATTTGATCGAAATTTTTTATATACGTTATATTTTTATTAATTTTTTGTACATTTTTTGCAGTTACTCGTTTTTTTATCTTTTTGCATTGATATTTGCAACGTTGTATCAACCTATGTTTCAAACGTTGCTAATATGAGCTTTGCAATTAACAGGGATGTAAATCTTCTTGTTTCGCACAAGTGTACATAAGACTTTTCGATGCGGGTGAACACATCCGGGTGAAGTTAGACAATCGCGTGTGTTAACGACTATTTAAGCGTCTCTTAGAAAGTGCATTACGCTAGTAGTGCATGTAGCGGAAACGAACGGTACGGTGGCTGCAACCTGTCCGCGGAAAATTACAACCAGCGCGGATGGAAGTGCAACCTCTCGAGGAAGGTTGGAAGGAACGAGAGCTCCTTCGCGATGTCACTGCGACGCTCTGCAGGCAACTCGGCAAACTTTTGTTTGCCCTCCTTTCGACCACCATAAAACACGTTAACGCCTGGGTAAGTAAGATTTTCCGCGTGTATATAGTGTGGAGTAGTTGCAACCGAAAGACACAGAGATACTTGGTGAGCCTTTGGGATTTTCTTAGCTTCTACAGTTGTCATAAACAACTCACCAAGTCACAATTCTCGTGTGTATCTCTTCGTGATACTCATCAGATTTCGTACGATTTTACGATATAGTGAATCAAATAAAATCACGATTCTCCGATATGATCGATACTATTCACGATAAGACAATAACAAAAAATGTGATTTTTCAACATTTTTTTTATATTTAATTATTTAATGTTAGATGACTTATTTATTACTATTTTAATTAATAATATAATTTATTACTATTTTAATAATAAT